TTTTTTTTTTTTTTTTTTTTTTTCTTATATATTTATAGATATTTTTTTAACGTTGCATTAACCGCGCTAGATTAGATCTTCTTACGTAACGTCGCGCTTTGAAGAACAGTCTTTTAATTTTCGGCTTTCCGTCGCCGAGGCGTCGATTTAAATTTCGAAACAAGCTTCGTCAATCTTTATTCGATTCACATTCCTCGATTATTATTTCGATCCTCCATATTATTTTGATCATCGTTCGTAAATTAAACAGAGAAGTTGTGCTGAACTTCGGAGCTGAGATTACTTTGTCACTGATTTAGATTGTCGAATTATTAGTTTGAATTAAATCTCTATTTGATTTCCGTTCCTTAATCATATTAAACGAATTAAACAAATTGAGGGACTTAGGGTAGGTAGGGACTTAGGAGGACTAAAAGGTATTAAAACTTCGTAGTTGAAGTTTAGATTGTCGAGTTATTATTAGCGTTGTTTGTGTATTTTAATAATAATTACATATTTATCTGCAAATTACATTTTTAATGCTACTACAAATTGATCGGAATTGTTGGGATATTTATGACTGATAGTGCGCGCCCGTTCGACGGTGTTTCGACAAAAGCAACCTTGGCGGATAATTGCGCTTAATTGCCGTGGAATTATAAAAACGCCGCGTGGATGAGCATCGAATTCTAATAGATCAGCTGGAAGTGAAGCGATAAAAGCGTCGGATAAAATCGGCTGCGAAACGAAACTACGCTCTCTCCTGAATATCGTTAAATCCTTTTATCTTTTATCTTTTATCTTTGTCATTTTTCACTTTAAGTGAAATTTAAAAACTTTCATTAAATCATTGTGAATGAAATTTCGAAATAAGTCGAAACGTACTCACGTTCACTTACTCGCTTCTAATTGCCTTGAGCAGAAGTTGACCCATTTGTCTAGTTCCAGTTGAACAACCTCTCGAGTGTTGTTTTTTTTTATGCAAACGAGGTTTCAAGAAACGATCACTTAATATTTGTACATTTTTACGCGTGTTGTGCGCAGTCACGTATCATGGTCAAACGACTAAGTATTTCACTGTTACTAATAACAACATTCAGCACGATGGAACGAAAATTATTTTCAAACGAAAGGCATATTTTAAAGAGAAAAAAAAAATAGTTCAGGAGAAATGGTTTAGATTATGTATGTATGATTAATAGACTACGAGTGTTTAAAATATGCCAAATTCTACCGAAAAAATACAATTTATTTTCAACAAGTGTATTGATATATACAAATTTATAATTTCGAGCTATATTAAGCTGCATTAAGCATTACACTTCGCTATGATTTGTCAATTGTCAGTTTCTTGAATTTTTTTTTTTTTTTTATCATATAAGTAATCTCATAAGTAATTTTTTTTCATCATTCAAGAATTTGAATAAATACTCGCCCGCAATTTTTACATAGCTCGCCGGGAAATAAAATTGAGAATTTCGAATCCAAGATTGATTTTAATTCGAAGAGAAAAAAATATTGAAAACTTCCAAAGCTCAAGAACATTTGATCTATTTCATCCTCTGCTTCATATCGCTATTTCTTTTCTCCTTATTCTTTTTTCTTTTTTTTTTTTTTTTTTTTTCTTTTACAAAAATACCTACGTTCGCGTGAACATGCCCCAGTCTAACCATTGCAACCCTTCAGGAAAATCAAATTGACCGGTTTAAAATTCATACGCTTTTCGACATTACCTGTTTCTGTTATGGTTGTGGAGAAAGATGTATATAATCTTTATATAATTCACCGACGTGACGTAAGACTGGGGTTGAGGATACTCGACGACTACCGGAGGGTACAAATGAATCGTGGAGAGTAGAATTGGAAGAACAAATTGTACTCTAAAATACGGCAGCGCACTGTAATAATCCTTTAGGGAATAATAAGTAGAAGCTCCGGCTGAACAGTGGTTACACGCACTTTGTAAATTGTTTGCCAGAGTTTTCTGTGGCGAAACTTCGCCGCGTAAATAATTCCTGTGGGAGATACGACACGCCTCATCGTCACAGTATCCGCCCTGTGTTCTTACCCTCTCTCAACACATTTTATAACACATTTTATTTCAGATTTAAGTCGCGACGAATGTGAAATCATTCTCAGATTGTTTGTCGTCTCGTCATCGTGGTACTTGTCATATTGTCATTTCAAGTAGGTACGTAATATCACTGTACAAAATTGTGGAAGATAACGAAATTAAGATGACCGACACCATGTGTCACTTCTCGATATTTATTCGGAGTTATTGTTGTATCAAAGTTGATACGCTGAACTAATACCAATGTTTCATTTATTCGAGATAAGTCTGGATCGATTTAAAAAAATAATTTGACAGTGTTAATTCGATAATGTAAGTAATCGTGTTAATTTGATAAAAGTAATAGCCGTTTCGATTAAAAAATTAAGTCAACATCAAGTTTGAAGTTTTCATTTTACTTCGTGGAAATAAATACACGAAAATCAAAAGGAATCTTCTCTCAGTCTTAATAATAAAAAGAAATTAAATTTTAATTTTGCTAGCAAGAATCGATAATTGAATGAATAAAATATGAAGTTTAAAAGCGACGTAATTCTACCAACTGACTTTTAAATTACAAGATGCAATGTATCGAATCAATGTTACAGTTTCTCACTGATCGATTCTTTTGGAGAAAAGAAAGAACAGAAGAACGTCTTGCCTGTTTCGAACAGACAATAGGTGAGGAAGTTTTCCTCAAACCGCCGATAAACAATTGAAAATAAATGTAAGAAAGAAGAATAGGAAACAGAGATCTGAGAAAGGTTATCGGCAAAGTTTCACATACACACGATAATACATTTCTTCGATGATGCACGCACATTGCAGTAAATTGCATACCGTAACATGTACTTTCATTGAAATTGTCCTTTAGCAATGTAGCCGATGAAATACCACTTTACATCGAAATGAGCACATCCAGGAATTTCGCTGTCGTATTTCCATTAAAAAGTATTCCGCTCGAAGATTCTTGCACTATTGATTTATTAAATTTATAACGTCGATCTGTCGTAATTACACGACGCTTTGTCGCTTTTCTTTCTTCAAAGAAAACATTTCGATCGAGGGTAGAAAGTGAAATTTCTGAAGAGTTATAAAAAATATGAAAACTTCATACTTCGAGTCGGACGTGAATACAACTTATAGAAGAACCAAAAACATGGCTCCGATAAATGAAAATTACCGTCGATCCCTGTCTAAAAAACGCAATAATTTTTCAACATTGTCTTTGATTAATCGAAGATGATTGACGTTGATAATTGACTTTGAGTAAAGTAGAATTCACTCCATTTATGTGAACTCTCCTCGTTTGAATCAAATTTTAACCCGATTACGTATGTTGAACCTGATCTCTTATTATACATGTACGTACGAAAAGCTCACGTAAGAGT